CTGAAATTCTTTCAGCTAGAAGCATCTGCCGAAAAAACCGAGGCTGGTAGCAACAAAAACTGCGGGAAACTCTGCAAAAAGCGCATCTTCGCACGGGCAGTCCGTGTGTTGGCCATTTATTTACAAATGTTACAACAATAAAACAGTAGCAATAATAACAATATTATATGTGCTTATCGTTATTATTATCATTATTATAGCTGGAATTGTCTGTCTTGTTATTATTGTTGGCAATAGTATTATTTCCATTGGTGCTATTATTATTAATATCATTATTATTACTACTATTATTACTTTTGTCCAACTTGGCTCCGAGACCATCTTATAATACAACAGTAACTTACCGCAGCAATAGCACTAATTCCCAAAGTCGCACGACGTAACCAACATACGCTTAGTGTTCCATTTGTTTCTGCTCCAACAGTCGTAGGTGCTAAAAAAGCATTCCCAAATAGTTCATGAACATACATCAGACATCACCAAAAGTGTAAAAACTTTCAGAAAAATCGCATTTACGAGTTATCTTGCGTACTTTTTTCACTTAGCAATGCAGGCTTTTTTTACAATTTCCAGAGGGTTCAAACGTGAAGGGAAAACCCTACTAAAGCCTAAGCATTATGGTCTTCGTAGCTCCTGAGTTAACTCTGCCGTCAAAAGCTTAGCGCGACCGTACGTAAGGCCTAGAAGTACGCGATGATTGGTATCAAGTTTCAAAGTCAGAAATGGGCGGGAACACTTTCCTAAAATTCGAACTTCCAAACTTTTGAGGTTCCCGAGTTATCGATCTTGCCGCCAAAAATTTGGCGTAACCGTACGCGGGATCTAGCCAAACTCGAAGGCTGAATTTAAGTTTATGAAATCAAACGTAGGAGAAGAAAATTCTTCAATAAAATCCCATCTCCGCAATTCTTGTAGTTCCTGAGTTCTTGATTTTGGTGCTAAAAATTCTGTGTGATCATATGTAAAACCTGGGATTACGTGAAAGTTGGCAATAAATTTGGGGGTCACACGCGGGCAGGCTACATTCTCTTAAAATACGAGCTTCCTAACTTTTTGCATTTCCCAACTTTATTTTTGCACCGTAACCATATGTGAGATCTATCCAGAAGGCTGAATTTAAGTTTAAGAGATTACAATGGGATAGAAGACGTCAAAAGTAATTTCCAAAATTTTAATTTCCTGATTTTTGCGGTAACTGAACAAACTTCAGAATGACCGTACGTGAGGCCTGTTTTACATTCAGGCTAAAAATTAAATTTGCGGGGCTGCATTTAGGCAAGGAACATTCTCCTAAAATTTCAGCTTCCTAGCTTTTGCAGCTCTCGAGACAATTTTGATGCGTTAGTGTTTAACATGGCGGTGCGTAAGAATTAGACGCAAATCAAAGCTGTAGCCAAATATGCCGAGTTACACATGGGCGCGGAGCAATCTTTTAAAATTCCAGCTATCCAACTTTTGTATTTCCGAGATAATTTTGGCAGCAGAGGTGTATGTGAAGGGCCAAATTATATTGGCGGGCCTGAGCTTGGACAAAAAGCATTCTTCGAATATTTCATGTTTCTAGCACTTATGGTTCCTGAACTGAAAAGTGCGGACAAAATGCACTCGGACCGCACAGATACACGCAAACATACACAGACAAGGGCTTGACAATGTGTGTTTTTCTGCAGCTGTTACACAGCACAAAACATATAAAAAAGAATAGAGTTTACCAGTACTGTGGAGACTAGTATTTGACATCATGTCATTTTGTGCATATTCGTCACTGAATTTCGCTTCTTCCATCACTACAATTTTCACCCATCATTTGAATACTAGAAAATCCTGAATACAGCACACTGGCGTATCTGCATCTGGTACATGTGTGAGTTCATCGCAGTAATATCATTAAAATTGACTCCAGACTTAATAATTTAAACGAATTTAAATAATATTTGGTTCTGCGATAAACGATAAAAATATCACCAAGATAGTAAAGACGTTCAGTCATTTGTTTACCTGCTATCTTCTCAGTTTTGGTGTATCAATCCCGAAGAATACAGAAGAGACTTGTTGACACTGGTTACATGTGAGATTATTACTTTTCTTTCGCAAATGATTCTCACGTGTTGAAGAAGGGAACCACTATAGGATGTTTTAATAAGGCCTTTTTCCACGTTTCTTCTTTATATCCCCGACACTCCTCTCTACAGCGCCATTTTCGACGACATTACAACTTAACTTGGCAACGATAAATGATGAAGAAGCGCATCATTCTTGTGATCGACGACGGCACGCAGATCAGCTATAATACAGTGTGAAAGAAGCAGCATTGCCCGGTTCTGACGGGGACCTCGAACGCTTGACATCCAAGAAGCTAGTACCAAGAGTGACCTCTAGTCCAGAAACAGGACCGGGCAGAAGCACCTTCATACTGCATTCAATAAAGCAACGTTTTCTCGACATCTTTCCACTTCCGAAATTGTGGACCGTATTTTGACGCAGATATTCTGCGACGTCATCCCGACGTTCTTTGCTGTTTTCCACGCTATCCCAATGTTATCTTGACGTTGCCTCCCAACACTGTCAGCCGACTTTATCCCTCGAAGATGTCCTTTGATGCTATGTTCCGACATCTCCCTCGATGTTGACAATATTTATCGCCCTTTTTGCTTTATTTTGCAGTGGCAAATGTGAACATCTAACAATTTGCACGATTTGACAGGAACAAAATCACTATCATCAAGTTTTTGTTTTGCTCAAAAATTTATTACACAATGTTTCAATAAACTGACACCTGTGAAACGTTTAAATTTCAAAGGCGTATCCAAGAAAGTTATTGCGAAAGCCACATACAAAGCTAAAGCCCCCAGTAGCTTGACACCTATCCAAATACCTTCATTTCAACTAGATTGAGATATTTTGCTTAGAAAAGGTGAAGAAGCATTGCGATATAACAACAGTTGAACAAAGTGAGAAAAAGAATGCTGGAAAAACTTGCCAAAAATCTCCGTCTGAGGTAAATCTTCAAATTTACAGCGTTTTGCATCTTGAATAGCTTTCGTAAGCTCTTCGTACCATAGATCCCGTACTCGCGTACAGTTGCCAGATAATAAAAATGTATGATTTGCAAGATGAATTGTGATGCACGTACTTGGATCGGAAACTACGTGAAATGCATCACCTTCATCCACCTTAAATCATTTAAAAGTTGCTTATTTTAATGCTGTGATTACATGTAATCCTGTGTGATTTCCTGCCTGTGCAGCTGGAAAATCTTGCCTTTTTGTGTCAAAAAAGTGGTTAACCTGCTGCTCGCCCATCACACAAAAAATTGTGTAAAAAGGGTTCCCCACAATGTTCGAAAAAAAGAAGGCCACCGCAATAAGCTGGGTGTATCTATTAGCTCAAATGTTTGTGTGTAAAGAGCTCAAGACTGAAGTCGATGGCAAGTTGTCAACTAAAGCACAAGAAAATATTCAGAATATAAATTAGTGGTGATTAGCAACCGCTTCGAATAGTATTAAAATTATGTTTTTCAATTCAGAACAGAAATTCAGTTCGAAAACCTGCTGCTGGAAATTCCCGAAATCTGAAGCTTGTTCTTCAAATAGTCGGGTCTCTGAGTAAAGAATACAGTTAAGTGTCAAAGAAGTATAAATCCTACATAAAATCAGCTTTTTTTCGTACTGTCACTTTTTTCTATAAATCAAAAGCAAAATCAGACGTTTTCAACACAGAAATTCCTGCTCGTTTTCTCACATACGTTCATGCCTCTGTAACCAGTACACTTTTCCACGAAGATTTTACAGGACCGAATTTAACATTTCTAGGCCGCATTTTCACATTTACTCTTCTCATTCTCAGATTTCTGACTTATTTGCGAGAATAAACAAGCGAATATCCTTTCGAATGCACAGAAATAAATCAAAAAAGGCTTCAAACGAAATTTTTTGCAAAGTAGGTGCGGTTATTTTGTTTTTCCCAGCAACTCATCCCCACCAATAACACTTACCGTCATTGTTCGCAAAGGTAGAAAGGCGTTGCGTCTGAAATCACCAGGCTGGGATCGATGAGCAATCAAAAAGGCATCATTGAATAATAAAACAATATGAGGCAAAAAACCACGCTTGGTCCATTTACACAACCATCCCTGACGTAAAAATTTCTGAAATAAGCACGAACTAATCAGAGCAAAAAAATCCAAACAATAGGCAGAAGAATGAAGGATGAGATCATCCTTAAAACTGTTCAGATCGTAATTTCTGCAGCAAAATGAACGTCAGGATCGCTAGCAGGTTTACAAGTAAGGATTAAGCATTGGTGAAGCGATCGGAAAAGTTGCCAGCTGTAAAACTAAAGAACCAGCAACTACTTGCCGCTAATTCTCTAAAAATGCTTGTCCTATCTTACCCAACTATCCCCATCTTCCCTTCCAATCATTTACTTTCTTCTGTTAAGGTTCAACATTTCCACGCCTGTCGCAATCGTTGCACTGATGAAACATTTTGTGATGCCAAACAATTATATAAAACAATATTCAGATTTTGTTGTTTTTTGCCAGCTCTTTCTAAAATTCAAAAATAAAAAGACGCACCCTATCTGGATCAACCAAAATATTCGTCAAGCCCAAATCATTTTCAAGCTCAGCTAGTTTTGTAAAGTGAATCAGTCCTTCCAATGTGGATCTTGTTTGCAGATTGAATGTCGCGACCTAAAAAAGATTCGCACTTTGTGCCATTTTCGGCTGAATTCTTCCAAGTGTTGCAGAAATTTTAAAGGTACAAACAGTGAATATTCTTGGTAGGAAGACTGGAAGAGAAGGGGGCCTGAAATCCTTAATGTGTTAACATACGCAGTTTGTTTGGCGCTATTGGCTCACCATGGGAAGGGACAGAGACGAATTTTGGCATTTAATGAAAAACTGGAAGTGGCAATTAGATCTCCCAACTAAGCAAGACTGTATGTGCAACGACTTAGTAGCCTGTCTATGTTTCATCCCTGAGCTGTGAACACAGACGGCAGAAACCGTATTAAACGTAAGCCCACTTTTTCCATTGCTACTCGACAGCTACTCAGCTGTGTTGCCATATCGGATCCGTTACATTCCTCCAGAAGTGCTGCCACCATTCGTCCAAATATCTGGAACTGTTAGACATTATGCAACAGCAAAGGTATTCAACATCCTGCATTCAATTCAAATCAAACATACAGTAAATAATAAGTGGAGATATGCAGCCTCGTATCAAAGAATTTGGAATATATACGCATATGTATATATATGTATATAGGTATATCCCCCAGCAATCACTAACATGGAATACCCACAGTGATTGCTGGGGGATCTGAACTGAGATTCCTCGAAAAGTGTTTTGCACTCATCGATAAAGAAAAAGTTTTAGAAAAAACAAGCAACATAAAATTCAAAAAGCACAAGTGGAATAACAAAATATTGACAAAAAACATCGAAATCCAATTAGAATGACGCACAGGACAGCCATTTAGCGCATATTAAAGCAAAAATGAAAAAACTTGTAATTATTCAACTGATTTTGGAAAGCTTACGTTCTGCCACAACACCATTCGATGAGCCGCTTTCAGAATCAAGAAAGTGACGTTGCAGCAATATAAGATGCTGGACTGCTGTGCATTATGCACGCTGATAAAAGTGTCATCTGCGTGAAGTAATTCATTCACAGCAGACATATAAATCGGTGAATTCTGCACGAACTTCCTGAAAATATACAATGACTACCTGGATTTTTCTCCTTGCCAAGAATATTCAGTGCTTGTAACTTTAAAAATTATGCAGCACTTTGAAGAATTAAGAACAACATGGAAAAAAGCGAATTCTTTCCAGATCACGACATTCAGTCTACAAACAAGACCCACACTGGAAGGACTGATTCGCTTCAAAAATTAGTAAAACTTGAAAATGATCAGAGCATGGCGAACAAGTAGGTTGGCACAGACAAGGTGGGTTTATTATTAACGAATTCCAAAAAGAATAGACAAAAAACGAAATGTCTAGAAATTATTGCATATAATTCTTTTGCATTACGAAAACGTTCTTCAGTGCAACGGGCTGAGACATGCATGGAAATGTTAAACATTATCAGCAGAAAGAAAATAGTTACAAGAGAAAATGGAGACACCACTTTGCAACGTACACCAATTTGTAGCAGGCACCAATTTGCAACAGACAGCAATTTGTAGCGGACACCACACTGCAGCAGACAATACTTTGCAACAGAAGCCAACTGGCAACAGAAATCAGGTTACAACAGAAATAAGTTTGCAACAGATACCAGTTCGCAACAGAAACTACATTGCAACGGACAGCAGATTGCAGCAGAAACCACTTTGCCGCTTTGCATTCGACACCAGCTTACAGTGGATATCAAATTACAACAGGGCCCAGTTTACAACAGACACCTGTTCGCAAAACACGTCACTCCGAAACAGAAACCACTATACAACAGAAGCCAGACTGCAACAAAAACTGCTTTGCAACAGACAACAGACTGCTACGGAAACCAGTTTGCAAAAAAATCAATTTGCAAAAGCAACCAGTCTGCAAAAGAAACTAGTTTGCAGCACACATCAGTTTGCAACAGGCACCTTTTCCAACAGAAACCAGTCTCCAACAGCAACCACTTTGTAGCAGGCGCAAATTGGCAACGGACAACAGTTTGCAACAGAAACCGCTTCGCAACGCCCACCGCATTGCAACGCAGAACATTTTGCAACAGAAACCACTTTGCAACAGAAGACAGCTCGCAAAAGAAACCGCTCCGCAATAGGCACCAGATGGCGACTGACACCAGTTGAGACAGACACCACATTGCAACAGAAAACACTTTGCAACTGAAAACACTCTGCAACATGCAACAACTTGCACAGGAAACGATTTTGCAGTAGACAACGCTTTGCTCCGACACCAGTTTGCAATAAGCACACGTTTTCAACAGAAAACACTTTGCAGCAGACACTACACCGCAACGGATACCATTTTCCAACACAAACCACTTTGCAACAGAAACTACTTTGCAAAAGAAACCATCTTGCAACACAAACTACTTTACAACAGAAACCACTTTGCAACAGACACCACATTGCAACACACAACATTCTGCAACAAAAACCACTTTGCAACAGAAGACACTTTGCAACAGAAGCCACTTCGCGACAGAAACCACTTTGCAACAGACAGTTTGCAACACACATCTCTTTACAACAGAAACCACTTGCAACAGAAGCCACTCTGCAACAGACACCACTTTGCTATACAAACATTTAGCATCAGAAACCACTTTGCAACAAACACTAGCTGGCGACTGACGCCAGGTTGCGACAGACGCCACACTGCAACAGGAACCACTTTACAACAGAAACCACTTTGCAACACTAACTACTTTGCAACAGAAACCACTTTGCAACCGACACCGCTTTGCAAAATACAACGTTTCGCAGCAGAAACCACTTTGCAACGCAAACTGCTTGCAACACAAGCCACCTTGCAACAGAAGCCACGCTGCAACAGAAACGACTTTGCAACAGAAACCACGTTGCAACAGAAACCACTTTGCAACAGAAACACTTTGCAACAGAAACCACTCTGCAACAGACATCACATTGCAACAGAAACGGTTTGCAACAGAAAACACTTTGCAACACACAAAATTTTGCAGCAGAAACCACATTGCAACAGAAATCCCTTTACATCAGAAATCGCTTTGCAACAGAAACCATTTTGCAGGAGAAAACACTTTGCAACACAAACTTCTT